GATTTTAATCTAGGATCCCGTGGGCTAGGTGATTGCTTTGGTTTCTTAGATTGTTCTGCTGAGGAGTTTCGCTTTCGTCTCCTTTGTTCGCGAAACTCCTCGGCTGAATCGTCTTTCCCTTCCAGCAGGAGAGACTCTCGCATCTCCCTGTGGATGGCAGCATAGAGGCGCAGCATGGCTGTAAACAGCATCTTGCCCTCGAGGTGCTTACACAGCACTGTCCTCTCTGCCTCGGATTTTGATATCAGCTTGTTCCATATTACACCGTTTCCGTTTGTTGAGGGCGAATTATGGATAAGCTGTCCGATCGTTTGTAGTCCTTTCCCCAGTAGTTCAATGTCTTCCTGGCAGTCAGGATTACTGAGTTTTAAGTTCACGTGGTTTCTCTCGAACGAAGCCACTATTGCGTTCCATCGTGTTTCGCACGATGTCGCCTCCGCCATTTTGACCGTTGCAGACGGGACGGCCACCGCCACCGATGCACTGGTAACAGAATAGTCACTAGGTGGCTATAGAGGAGCACTCAAGATTATGGTCACCTGGGACCTCTCAAACTCCTTCCGTAACGTCTCCCGAACTCCTACTCAAACAGACAATTACTCAAACAGACAATCTCTCACAAGTTATGTACCAGTAAGAGAGTACACCTAAACAGACAATCTTTTCAGTCCCATCCGAAGAACTCCGACGCTCTCGCTACCAATCAATCAGCTCGGTACACCACAAAAACCTTATTGACACCACAAAAATTTTCTCTGAATCAATCCGAATCAATCTTTTTCGAATCTCCTGAATCTAAGCCACAAAAATTTTTCATCGTACTTCACAGGATCATTTTTCTGAATGTCACCCACGATAAACAGAGTTCATGAAAATTTGCAACCTTTAATAAACTGCCTTACTGAAATTCAGTCAACATCAAATGCAGATCAAACCATTGCAGAAGTGACAGGAATTTTAAAATACCTGAATGATGATAATTTCAAGTTTTGGTTAGAGCTTTTTCATCAGATTATGCCTCCTGTTGAAATAATTTACAACCAAATGCAATCTCGAGTGTGTTTAAATTTAATGAATATACGACAAATTTCATAACTGCTATTTTAGAATTGAGAAACTCAAAGTACTGTGAGAATCCTTCAAAGACTCTCATGGCAGAAGCTAAGGAAGTGCGTGACTGTATATGTGTTGATATAATGGGCAGATATTCTTCCACTAAACACTTAGTAGCTGCTAAATTGTTCAACAAGAAATGCAAGAGTGAATATCCCACAGAAGAGATAGTACTGACCACTGAAACATATCCCATGATTGACAAAGAAAAGCTTGAAACTGAACTAAAAGTATTCTATTGTAGGTCTGATATTCATGAATATTGCACATTAATTGAGCTGCTGAAATTTATCTTGGAAAATAATATAGATGATGTTTTTAGTGAAATTACGAAACTGATAAAACTCCTCTTGACAGTTCCCATGACTACATCAGAGGCAGAGCGCTGCTTTTCAACATTGAAACGAATAACAACTTTTCTAAGAAGCGCTATGAATTCAGAGAGACTAAATGCGCTTGCAGTGCTTTCAATGGAGAAAAATTTCCTCAGTTGTCATCCAGAGATCAAAGAGAAAATTAGTGATCTTTTCTCGTAAATTAAAACAAGAAGAATGGATATCATTTTTAAATGAATAGATTAAGCTTGAACTGTAACAATTTGGGTTAAAGTAAGTAAAAAAAATGTATTTGTTTCTTTTAGGATTTTATCAAGTTTCTGAATAAATTTTATTTTTATACATGTTTGTTTCCTTTTGTACAATTTTAAAACAAAGGCTACAAATTTTCTGTAGTAGCACCCCCACTAATTTTAGCTACGAGCCGCCACTGCTCAACAGTCAACAAAATAGAGCTCCTTCTACCCCAGCCTCAGCATCTAAGAAATTCATCCTCAATCGATCCAAATATATTGTAGCGTGTTTTTGCCACTGAACACGCAGTTCGGATTGTTAATTGGTTTATTTAACAACCTACAATTCTCGGCTACAATTAATTATAACACTGTTGCGGGGTTTAACACTTTATAACCTTATTCGCAATAATCTCTTCACTCTATCTTCAGTCGTCTACACGTATTCACAGTATAGGAGCTATGTAAGTGTCCTTGTATCACACATTCCCAATTGCACGATTACACACACGTCCGGTTCTTCTTTCCGCGACTACTACTATACTCCAACTGTGTCACTCCTAATCACACACTGACTGAATGCTGACTCACTTCCAAATGTCTTCGGCGGCTGTTCAAATTCAACTGACAACAACTGAACTCGGCGAAGACCACATTTTTAACTCGCCTCGGAGGCAGTACAGCTCTCTTATAGTCTCAGAGTTTACCTGTTACGTAATCGGTACCGCTGTTGCTTGACGCAGTATTACGTCACCGCGGGGAGAGGGGCGAGGTGTTGACGTGCCTATTACCATTGTAACGATAGCGCTACGATGCCGCCATGTACCGCTGGGGAGGGAGGTGGTGTCCTCCATAGCGCGACACGTCACAATATTTCAACAGACTCTGAGGAATCAGTCCTTATGAAGGGTTTGAATTTTTCAGTAACACGTCCACACTCGAACTTGGATATGGCATGTGCGGTGGAATCTGTTGTTTCGAATCTTCCACAGACTAAGGGCATGGAATTCGGGTGGAAAGTCAGATCCATGTTAGAGAAGTCGAAGTTTTCCGAACCTAACATGACCACGAAGGAACTGAAAGCCGTGAAATCTTTGAGACTTAACAAGGAAATTAGGATTCTTCGAGTAGGCAAAGGCAACTGCACTGTGGTTTGGACGAATCCAAATATAAGGATAAGTTAAACACATTGCTAGGGTCAGGGTTTTACGAAACCTTGTCCAAAGACCCTACAGCTAACTTGGAGAGGAAAGTACAGAACCTCCTTTCTAAATACAAAACCACTCTTCCGACCGATCTAAAACACAAGCTGACTTCATACCACAGCAAACCTCCACATCTGTATGGTCTGCCCAAGATTCACAAAGCGGGTATTCCACTGAGGCCTATAGTTAGTTCGATTGGTCCCCCTTGCTATGCACTGGCCGGCTTTCTCCATAGGATACTCAGTCCTTCTGCTGGTAAGTCCGACTCTTTCGTTAAGAATTCGGCCTACTTCGTACTGTTATTAAAGACTGTTAACCTTCATTCTCAAGATATTCTCGTTAGCTTTGACGTTGTCAGTCTCTTCACTAATGTACCAGTTGACGAAGTCCTACAAATCATCGAAAACAAGCTCCACGACGATGTCACACTGACGGAACGGTCTGTCTTGCAGGTCGAAGCCGTCATGAATCTGCTGGAAATCTGTTTGAGAACCACCTATTTTCAGGTCGACGACAAGTTCTTCCAAAAGAAAGATGGCATGGCTATGGGAAATTCTCTCTTGCCCATCGTTAGCAACATCTTCACGGAGCCTTTTGAAAAAACCAGCTCTTGACTCAGCACTGTACAAATCATCGTTGTGGCTGCTGTACGTGGATGACAATTTTGTAGCCTGGCCTCAAGGTCCAGGGAGATTACAGAATATCTTCGACCACCACAATAGTTTAAGGCCTTCCATCTGCTTCACTATGGAAACTGAGTCAGACAGTGCAATCTCTTTTCTGGAAGTTCTGGTCATCAGGGAAGAGACGGCACTAGTCACACAAGTCTACAGGAAACGCACCAACACAGGCTAATACCTCAATTTCAATTCTAACCATCCGCCACATGTAAAAAGAGGCTTAATTAAAAGTCTCCATGACAGAGCCTCCACCATATGCCAAGATCGACGAGATTTGGTCAAAGAAATTAACAACCTGAGACATGATCTTCAGTTGAACGCTTATACCAAAGGCTTCATTGACTCGGTCATTAATTCCAAGTGCAGTAGTCGTCCGAAGAAAGAGAAAACCCCTCTGTGTTCTGTATATACAAGGCGTGTCCCAAAAGTCATGAAATATATATATATATTGTAGCGTGTTTCGTGTGTCACGCTACAAATAACTTCACGCCGTTGTCCCAATATAGCGAATTTATTTCTTTCGCTCGTTTACACACTTTACAATCATTCCAGTCTGCAGTGTCACAATCACTGCTCACGATAACTCGGCCGACACGGGACTGTCCTTTCTGGCGGTTGTTCCAAACTTGATTCTTAGACGGTTGCTATCCCAAGACTTTCTTCTCCGAAGGCTGATCCGAGACTCGAGACTTCTCGTCGAAACTGGGCTTTTATAACCTTGGCCGCTGCTAGGCAAATGAATCCTCTGTTATAACCATGGAGACTCCTGTTAGAACTACAATGGAGCAATTGTTATTTCCTATGCAACGGTCTATTCTAGTGTTTCCATAGAATCGTCTCTTCTGGATTCCAGACACGTTACAATATATTATAAATTTATTGATGATCTCGGTACAAAGTGTTAATATTCTTCAAAGTACTGTCCATGAGCATCTATACATTTCTTCCACCGACTCTCCCATGCCCGGTACGCCCCCTCAAAGGCCTCGACGGGAACCTCATTTAAAGATGTTGTCACGGCCGCTTGGATAGCCTGAAAGCTTTCAAAACGGCGTCCTTTGAGTGCAGTTTTGATCCTCGGGAACAAAATGAAGTCGGCCGGAGCTAGGTCGAGGCTGTAGGGTGACTGCGGCAGCGTTGCCACGTGGTGCTTCGCCAGGAACTCACGGAGGAGCAGAGACGTGTGGCTGGGCGCATTGTCATGATGCAGCCGCCAGTTGGCGGCGATGTCTTTTCACACGCGGATGACCCTTTTCCTTAATCTTACTAGAACATCCAAGTAGTAGGGAGCGTTGACGGTCTGTCCTTGGGGTAAAAACTCTTTGTGGACCACATCCTTGGCGTCGAAAAAGACGATGAGCATTGTTTTCACTTTGATTTGCTCATCTCCTTAAACTTCTTCACCCACCTTGTAACTTGCACATATGATAGAGCAGACTCCCCGTAGGCTTGCTTAAGCAGTTCGTGAGTTTCGGCAGCTTTTTTTTTAGCTTTGTGCAGAACTTGACCGTCCAACGTTGTTCGAAAAGTATCCGCCATCGCGCGCCGTGACGTGGTCACAAAACACAGGTGCACTAAATCAGCGATACTGACGCCTCCGATACTCGAGCAGACTGACCTTGGGCGCGCTGTGAAGCTAAAGGCCTTCCCCCCTAACCCAACCGGTCCCAGCGCGCTCAGACCAGTAGGAGCGCGGGCAAGAAATATATTTCATGACTTTTGGAACACACCTAGTATTCAATATATGAAGGGTGTTTCTGATAAGTCTAAACGGTTAGGTAATCGGTATAATATTAGGACCATCTTCCATACGAAACACATTCTTAGGAACTCTCTTATGAAAACCAGACCGAAAAGAGACCCGCAACAGACGGCACAGTGCGCCTGTTGCATTCCTTGTTAATGGAGCAGAAGCTACATTGGCGAAACAGGCAGACTTCTGGCCGTGCAGCTCTGGGAACATAGGCATAACCTCAAAGAAGGTCTTCTAGAAAAATCTAAACTGGCTCAACGTGCCTATGAAGAGGGACATAGGGTAGGCTGGGATGAAGCT